TGCCTATTTGAGAAATTGTTGTATTTCAACAAGAATTTGAAGGAGGACACACAAAATATTAAAAGGCCATTTTCTGTTTCTGGAAGCGGAGGATGTCAGGGGCAGCTTTCTTTTGTGCAATGTTATCACCTGCGAGGCAGTGGTTTCCCTATAGACAGGCTCCCTGGCAAATGAGCTAGATCCAAAGGCAGCACTGACAATTCACAGGTGTGAGCCAAGTCTGACCCAGGACTGGTGAAATCCAGCCAAGGAGAACAATTTCACAGCTCCACAAGTGATCCTCAGGTTGTATAACTTCAAACAGCTGAAAAATAACCTCAAAAGGCAACACCATAAGGCAGAAAAGGCCCACATTCCCTACCTCCTATTAAGAACAGGAAAAAAGTAATTTGCATTTGGCTTTGCCTTTGTAAGAAAGAAAATCCAGAAGTTGAAGGATGGATAAAAGAAGGTGCGGGTACAGGAAAACATTACACATTAAACAAAACAAAACAAAACCAGCATGTTCAGTGTCCCAGATGCACAAAGGAGCCCAGCTCTGTGATGGGGAGGTGGGCCACAGGGTAGATCAGATGTCAGTTAATAGAACCCAAAGCTTTCCTCAAGCATCACTCAAGGCACAGGCTCCTTACCCCACCCTCCTGTACATACAGACTAGAATCTAAGTTTCATGAGTACAGAAATTATTTTTTTGTTCACTGATGGATTCCAAGCATCAAGAATAGTGCCTGGCATACAGTAGGCACTGAATAAATATTTGTTGAATGAATGAATGAAGTATAATTCAGTGCTGGGGTATATCACCTAGAGAAGAACTAGAGTAAGTGTTCAATAACTAGTATTCGTGTCCAGGAGTTAAATGCAAAAACTCAGTAAACACTGGTAGTTAATTGTGCTGGGTATCTCAGTTTGAAGGGTTTCAAATTGTTTTTAATTAAGATGTAATGACATGCAATAAAATAAACAGATCTTGGGTGATAATTTGATGAACTTTGACAAATGTTCATGATAGGAAACATTACCATAACTCTAGAAAGCTCCCTGTGCCCCCTTTTTGTTGATTGCCCTCCTCCACAAAAGCAGCCATTATTCTTGTATCTAATCCCATAGACTGGCTTTGCCTCTTCTTGAACTTCACATAAATGGAATTATGCACTATATTCCTCTATGCCTGGCTTCTTTTGTTCAACATAACGTTTTGGCAACTCATCAGTGTTCTAGGTATTACCACTTCATTCCTTATTAATGAGCAGCATTCCATTTTATGAATATGCAATAATTTATTTATCCATTCCTTGTTGATGGACATTGGCATTCCTTCTGATGTTTTGCTGTGATGAATAAAGGTGCAACGAACATTTTTATACAAATATTACTTTTGGGGCATATGTTTACATTTCTTTATAGTAAATACCTAGGAATGTAATTGCTGGGTTGAAAGGTTTGTGTAAGTTTTTCACTTTGTGAGAAACTGCCAAACACTTTTCCGTAATGGTTATAATTTTACATTTCCACCAGCCATATAGAAGCGATTCAGTTGCTCCATATCCTTACCAACACTTGGTATTGTCAGTCTTTTTCATTTTTAGCCATTCAGCAGGTGTGAAATGATACATCATTCTGGCTTTAGTTTGCATGTCTCTGAAGGTCAACGATGGTAAGCACATTTGAGTGTCTAACTTAATTTTCTGCTTTTATGTTGTTTTACTTTTTATTGTTCTATAGTTCTTTATATATTCTCGATATGAGCCCTTTGGGATATACACAGAGAGTTAATATTTTTTTCCCTAATCTACAGCTTGCCTTTTCCTTTTCCAACTGTCAGTACATGAGCAAAATTTAAAAATTTTTAAATTTTGATGGAGTCTATTATTTTTACTATACACTGAATGCCTTTTGCCTTCTGCTTTCTCAGATCACAGTAATATCCTCCAAAATTTTCTCCCAGAAATTTTACAATTTTAGCTTTTACATTTAGGTCCTAAATTTATTTTAAGTAATTTTTGTGTGTAATGTAAGCTATGGACCAAGGTATTTTTTTTTCTACATAGATATCTGGTTGATATAGCACCATTTATTAAAATGATTTACTTTCAGGGTACCTGTGTAGCTCAGTCAGCTAAGTGTCTCACTCTTGGTTTTGGCTCAGGTCATGATGTCAAGGTCATGAGATTGAGCCCCGTGTAGGGCTCCATGCTTACTGTGGAGTTTGCTTGAGACTCTCTGCCTCTCCTTATTCTTCTGTCCCTCCCCTACAGCTCATTCCCAAGCTCTCTCTGTCTCTCTAAAATAAATAAGTAAATCTTTTTGGGGCACCTGGGTGGTTCGGTAGTTGAGCGTCTGCCGTCGGCTCAGGTCATGACCCCAGGGTCCTGGGATCAAGTCCCACATCAGGCTCCCCACAGGGAGCCTGCTTCTCCCTCTGCCTGTGAGTCTGCCTCTCTCTCTTCCTGTGTCTCTCACGAATAAATAAATAAAATCTTAAATTTTCTTTCCTTTCCCCCATTGTCATAATTATTCATCAAAAAGCAATTGAATGCATGTTTGTGGATTTATTTTCATCATTTCATCACTATATGAGATGTCAGTTATAGGGTTTTCATAGATAACCTTTATCAGATTGAGAATTCTTCCTCCTTTATCATGAATGGATATATTGGATTTTGTCAAATGCTTTTTCTGCATCTAATGACATGACCATACAATTTTATCCTTTATTATATTAATATGGTAAGTTACATTGATTTATTTTTTGAATGTTAAACAAATCTTGTGTTCCCAAAATAAGTACCATTTATCCATGATGTATTATTTTTTAATACATTGCTGGATTATGATTACTAATATATTGAAACACTATGTAGATTGGTGTTATTTCTTTTTAAAATGTCTGATGGAATTCACATCAAGGCCATCTAGGTCAGGAGTTTTTCTTGTTTATGAAATGGGAAAGATTTTAGTTATGAATTCAACTTCTTAGCGAGCTTAGAAAGAGACTTCAGACTATTTCATTTTTAGGTCTTTTGGAAATTTTTAGGTTTTTTTTTTTTTCAAAAACTATAGCCATTTTATCTACATTGTAGAATTTGTTGGCATACATTATTCATATTTTTACATTTTATTGTCTTAGTATCTGTAATATCTGTAGTGATATTCCGTCTTACTTTTTAGTATTTTTTAGTAGTATTTGTGCTTTCTCTGTGATCACTCTTGCTAGAAATTACAAATTTAATCTTTTCAAAGAAACTATCTTTCGGCTTTATTGATTTTCTCTATATTTTGTGTTCTACGTTGATTTTTACTCTTATGTTTATTATTTTCTTCCTTCTATTTCATTTGGGTTTAATTTGCTCTTCTTTTTCTAGCTTCTTAATGTAGAAGTTTAAATCACTGACTTTTCCTGTTTAATTATAAGCATTTAAAGCTATAAACATCCCCTGTAGTACATCTTCCACTTCATTCTTCAAATCTGGTATGTTGTGTTTTCATTGTCATTTCATTCAAAATAGTTGCTAATATCTTTTGACTTCTTCTCTGACCCACGGGCTATTCAGAAGTTTTATCTTGGGGACCTGGGTGGCTCAGTGGTTGAGCATCTGCCTTTGAGCGTCTGCCTTTGGCTCAAGTCATGATCCTGGGATGGAGTTCTGCATTGGACTCCCCATAGGGAGCCTGCTTCTCCCTCTGCCTATGTCTCTGCCTCTCTCCCATGTCTCTCATGAATAAATAAATAAGTAAAATCTTTTTTGAGAAGTTTTAACTAATTTCCAAACATCTGGGGATTCTCTGGATTTATTTTTATTATTAACTCTTATTTTAACAATATGTGGTCAAAGAATGCATTCTGTATTATTTCAGTCCTTTTAAATACATTGAGACATGTTTTATCCTCCAGAACACAGTCTACTTTGGTGACTTTTGTAAGTACGCTTGAAGGAAAGTTTCTTTTGTAGCTATTGGGTGTAGCGGGCAAAAATTTTTCCAAAGCTTTCTCTTCATCTTCCCTTCTAGGAATCTATCACTGATCCCCCAAAGTCAATGCTTCTGTTTGCACAGTATTTTCTTCTGATCCTAGTTAATTATAGTATGGCTCCCACACCACATCCTGCATCTTCCTACCCCTAGGATCTCTCAAGCCTCCATCTGATGTGCAAAGTGAAGAGAAATCTCAAGCTGCTTGAAGCAGTTTAGAAGTCATGCCTTGCTTGTCAAAAAAGACAAGATAGCGACCCAGGCTTCCTTTTGATATCTTTTATTCTGCTCTGTATGTGATAGTGTGGTGACTAATTTGGGATTTGGTGGGAGAGAGGGCAAATGGGGCAGATGTTGTCATCCTTCATGTGGGGTCATCTGTAAATCCCCTGTGACGTCTCCCCTGTCTGACTCAGGACATGGCTTGGGTGGGACATGTGATGATTTTTTTCCTGCAGAGCTTTGTTTTATATTTTTAATAGTTAATACACATGTAGCTAGACAGTGTACTTCACAAACAACAGAACCTCCCTCGCCAACCTTTGATTTACAGAAGTGATACACTTATGTCCTGGAAATTAGTTGACTTTAAATAAATGACTATGTAAATGAAAATACAGGGGTTCATCTCTATGGCCAAATGTGTAAATAGGGTACCTAATATGGGGTTTAGGCAAAGTGGTGTGATCACTGCTATATAGTGAACATTTGCTATTACAACAATGTGAACCAAACTGCAGTCTTTAAATTATTTATTCTAAGTCCTTAAAGGACCCTTCCTAATGAGATTAGAAAAGCCAGCATGAGGATCAGCACACAGTTACCACAGTTCACCCAGAAAAAGCATTCCAGCTACACCTTACGATATTTGGTCTATCTCGTTCCAAGAATGATCTGCTTCTGGTTGTGGGATGGGATCTGGAGCAGTTTAGCAGGAAATGTATTGGGAAAAGGAGTAAGTTGACCACCTCTGTTGCCCATGCTTTCATCCCTCCCCAGCATCTTCATACATGCAGAAGGATGCTCACCTTTTCCCATTCTCGGTCCTTGTTCAGCACGATCACAACCAGCCTGGGGTGCACCTGGTAGCCTTCCTCAGTGAAGGACAAGTCTTTGCCATCCCATGTCACATTGACCATAAATCTAGAGAGGGGAAGAGAGAAAGACAAGATTTTAGGAAAGAAGAAAAGAGGTCAGACGAGTGGGTGGCACCATCCGTGTAACACTCAGAAAGTGAAGCCTCACATGGCCATCATCACTCATGACAAGTGGCCTATACCTGTGTGGGTATTAGTACCCAGGCAGGCACTTATTTCCATGGGCCTATGCTCACCCTCAGAATCTCCCATCCTGCACAGATGTTATCAATTGACTGTAGTTAGCACATGGGATGGAAACTTTCTGTCCTGCCACATCCATAGACCTCTGTCCAAATGATACTACAGGAGGATCTTAAACCATGTTCTGTTAAGTTTGAACAAGTTTCCCTAAAGGAAGCTGATGGCTCATTAACCATATGGTATGCAACTTCAAAGAAATGGTATGCCACTAGTCATTCCACTAATGTTTATTAAACACTTGCTACATGCCAGGACTCAGCAGCTTGGCTGAGGATGAATAAGGAAACAGATATTATCCCTCTCCTCATGAAGCTTAGAGTCTAAAGGAGAGGACAGGCATTAATTAATTACAGATCTATGACAAGTGTTGTAATAGTGAGGTGGATGTGCTATTTGGAAGTAAAAGAGGGGTCAGGCAAAGCTTCTGCAGGGAAGTGCCACTTCGCCTGAAGGATGAGTCAGCATTAGCTGGGTTAGAAAAAGAGACATGAGCAGATTCCAGGCAAAGCAGGCAGCATGTGCAAAGGCCCTGTGGCAATGCACACAAGGGACTCACTGCAAGCCAGTGAGACCAAAGCAGAGAGAGACAGAAGAATGTGGGATGTTGTGTGGCTAAGAAAGTGAATAGGGGAGATAGTGCAAAGCTTCTCAGGCCATGTTAAAGAGTTTTGTCTTTGTTTTATTTTATTTTATTTTATTTTTTTTAAAGTAATGACTGTGATTTTAATCAAAAACAGATCTTAACCTTTCCAAACAAAACATCCATTTTGTGGTACAGAACACCATGAAGTCTAGGCAGGCTTTCTCCCTCTGTTGACTTTATTTTTTTTATATAAATTAATTTTTATTGGTGTTCAATTTACCAACATACAGAATAACACCCAGTGCTCATCCCGTCAAGTGTCCCCCTCCGTGCCTGTCACCCATTCACCCCCACCCCCCGCCCTCCTCCCCCTCCACCACCCCTAGTTCATTTCCCAGAGTTAGAAGTCTCTATGTTCTGTGTCCCTTTCTGATATCTCCCACACATTTCTTCTCCCTTCCCTTATATTCCCCTTCACTATTATTCATATTCCCCAAATGAGTGAGAACATACACTGTTTGTCCTTCTCCGATTGACCCACTTCACTCAGCATAATACCCTCCAGTTCCATCCACGTTGCAGCAAATGGTGGGTATTTGTCGTTTCTAATGGCTGAGTAATATTCCATTGTATACATAAACCACATCTTCTTTATCCATTCATCTTTCGATGGGCACCGAGGCTCCTTCCACAGTTTGGCTATTGTGGACATGGCTGCTAGAAACATCGGGGTGCAGGTGCCCCGGCGTTTCATTGCATCTGAATCTTTGGGGTAAATCCCTAACAGCGCAATTGCTGGGTCGTAGGGCAGGTCTATTTTTAATTCTTTGAGGAACCTCCACACAGTTTTCCAGAGTGGCTGCACCAGTTCACATTCCCACCAACAGTGTAAGAGGGTTCCCTTTTCTCCGCATCCTCTCCAACATTTGTTGTTTCCTGCCTTATTAATTTCCCCCATTCTCACTGGTGTGAGGTGGTATCTCATTGTGGTTTTGATTTGTATTTCCCTGATGGCAAGTGATGCAGAGCATTTTCTCATGTGCATGTTGGCCATGTCTATGTCTTCCTCTGTGAGATTTCTCTTCATGTCTTTTGCCCATTTCATGATTGGATTGTTTGTGAATGGGCTTAATGACCCCATCAAAAGGCGCAGGGTTTCAGACTGGATAAAAAAGCAGGACCCATCTATTTGCTGTCTACAAGAGACTCATTTTAGACAGAAGGACACCTACAACCTGAAAACGCTTTGTCTTTGTTTTAAAACGGTAGGAACACACTGAAGGTTTTAATTAAGGAAGTGATACAATCAGACTTTTCTTTTCTTGTATAATATGCCCTGAAGGCTGTGTAGAGAATTGGTTGGAGGGGACCAGCGTGGATACAGGCGGGGGTAAGTTATGGGATGTTTATTATCCAGATCAGAGCTGATGTTGGCTTTGGCTCTGTTGTGGCTCCAAAAGAGGAGGAGGAGAAGGGAAGAGTACAAGTCATCACGAATAGGACCAAGTAGAGAATATTTAGCAGGTAGGTAGTGATGTGAAGGTTGGGGAGAGAGAAGCAACAAGGACAACGCCTCAGCATCTGTCTTATATAACATCCGCAAGGTCAACTGTCGGCCTAGTACATCAGTGCATGTGACATTTACCTGCCTTATGGTATTCTTGCCTCCACCACTCCTCCAAGCCACCTTGCCTGGAGGCGGGCTGGACGCAGATGGGGAGGGAGGTAAGGCATAGCTCGCTTCCCAGGATTTGGGAGGGAGGATCCCCGGGAGTCCACATCTCCTCGTAGCTTGAGAAAAAGGTGATATTGTTGGAGACTTCCAAGGGAATACACCACTTAACAGGTACTCAATTAATGCAGTACGGTGCGTTGAAATATTCGGAGATCCCCCAGAGAGACAGGGTATCTCAAAACCGTGGCATTTTCTTGCTTTGTGATCCTTTAACACCAAGGAGGAGAAATAGACTATAAACAATTTCAAAAAGGAGATATGGACCTAACCGGTCACTGTGTGCCCCTGGACTGCCAGAGTGCAGGCTGTGTCTTGTGGATGGAGAGTCAGGTCTCCCAGGAGAAGTTAAAGAAATCAGGGAAAAAGGCAAAGAACAAATAATGCGTATCATTCAATGAACTATTTGAGTTTTTAAAAATCATGTCTTTGATGACAAGTTAATGGCGAGAAGAAAATGCTCACTGATGTTAAACAAGCAAAAGAGGATAAAAATAGGGTTTGCTACGCATAAAAGGATTAAGGTACCTTTTATTCTCTTTTGTGTATCTTTGTTTTCTCCAGGTTTTCTGCAAAGTGTTTGTTTAAGAAACAGAAAAAAAAACCCACTGCAATTCTAGGAGCAGAGAGTAATCACTCTTCTATTTGGTACATGTGCGGTATCTGTGATCATTTCCTAGGAGGATATTTTGTTGATTCAACAACTATTTGCTGCATGTCTATTATGTGTCAGGCCCTATGGGGAGTCCTATAGATACAGAAATAAAAACCCCAGTGCCTGTCCGCCCTCCTACCCACATCTTCATCACTCAGTGACACAGGCATATAAACAATGACAGCACACAGAATGCTGCTGGTGCAGAGATACACAGTAAGTGGGAGAAGTGAGTGCAGAGAAGGCCCCTCACTCAACCTAAGGGATTTGGGGTGGGGGGGCTTCCTGGGAAATCTTGAAAAGTGAAAGCATTAAGAAGAGGTGGGAGAGGGGCACGTGGGTGACTCAGTCAGCTAACTCTTGATCTAAGCTCAGGTCTTGATCTCAGGGTCATGAGCTCAAGCCCTCCACTGGGCTCAGGGCTGAGCATGAAGCCTACTTAAAAAAAAAAGAAGATGGGGCACCTGGGTGGCTCAGTGGTTGGGCATCTGTGTTTGGCTCAGGGTGTGATCCAGGGGTCCTGGAATCAAGTCCCACATTGGGCTCCCCACAGGGAGTCTGCTTCTCCCTCTGTCTGTGTCTCTGACTCTCTCTTTCTCTGTCTTTCATGAATAAATAAAAGTAAAATCTTTAAAAAAGAAAAAAGAAGAAGGAGGAGGAGAAAAGAACTCTGAGCAAAGGAATCACCTTGAGTAAAGAAGAGTCAGCAAAGGTCGGCAGCGTGACGCATGCTGGGCAAAGCAGGGAATAGCTTTAGTAGGCTGAGGCGCAGTGGGATTTGTCTGGAGAGGATTCCTGAAGCCAGATCCTAAAGGACCTTGAATGCCATCCTAAAGGGTTTGGATTTTGTTCAGAAGGCCAGAGAGATCCATGAAAGATTTTAAATAAAGGAGTGATGCATAGATTTGCTGACAAGAGAGGCAGAAGTAAAAATGCTTCTTTCTCTGCATCAGAAGACAACTTCCAACATTTATGTTTATGGTTGCTAACCTTTCATTAATGGGGGGGGGCTAAATTAGGCTATTGATATTTTCCCAGTTGACTTTTTGTTTTGTTCCCCATGATTATTTTTAGGCCTGTTACATTGTCTGGTACACTGTAAGGCTGGAGTTCATGTCTGGTGGTTGAGTGTGTTGATAGATCACCAGAAGTGCCACCCATCCATGTCTACAACCAAGAGCCCATCCATCTTGTCCCTCTGTCCATCTATCCATCCATCTGCCAATCCATCAATCTATCCATCCACCCGTCAATATGTTCATCCATCTATCCATCCAATAGAAATACCTGCATACACCTACTATGTGTCATGACCTGTGCAAAGAACTGTGGTAGGAAAAATGATACAAAAATAAACAAATATATTTCTGCAATCAATAACTGCAGTACAGAACAGTAGGTGTAGGGACACCTGGGTAGCTCAACGGTTGAGTGTCTGCCTTTGACTCAGGGCATGATCCCAGAGTCCTAGGATCGAGTCCCACATCGGGCTTCCTGCGTGAAGCCTGCTTTTCCCTCTGCCTATGTCTCTGCCTCTCTCTGTGTGTCTCTCAAGAATAGATAAATAAAATATTTCAAAAAAACAGTAGGTGTAAAAGTAGAGATATGTATTAAGTAGGCTGGTGAAGAGCATTAAGAATAGAGTGGCTAATTCTATTGCAGAGGCAGAGCTGGCATTAGGAAACAAAGTGGAAGAGCATGGGCTGGCCGGGTGAATGGCCAGGGATAAGGGGTGGTGAGGCACTGCAGGGAGGAAACCGAAATGCCAAAGGCATAGAACAATGGAAGAGGATGGAATACTGTTCACAAAATCTCAACGTAAACACTGCAGAC